ATAGATTCTGGAGAAAACAAAAATAAGAATGAGATAAGGTCTATGGAATTGGAAATCACACTGGTAGACCTAGAGAGTCTGGAGGCTGTTAAATTCTTATTCTTCTCTAAACTGTCTCCTGGTTCTCCATAAACTTCAACCACTTTGTTAGTATTGGTTCCTTTCCTTTCATCTATCCTTTAAGACAGTGGTTCTCAAAGTGTGGCCCCAGGAATAGCAGCATCAGCATTATCTGGGAACTTGTTCAAAACACAATTTTTCAAGCCCCAGTCCACACCTACTTAATCAGAAACTATGGGGGTGGGACCCAGAAATCTGTGCTTTACTAAGGCCACCAGCCATTTCTTTCTTTTCTTTCTTTTTCTTTTTCTTTTTTTTGAGATGGAGTCTCGCTCTGTCACCCAAGCTGGAGTGCGGTAGCCTGACCACGGCTCACTGCAACGTGCGCCTCTTGGGTTCAAGTGATTCTCCTGCTTCAGCCGTCTGAGTAGCTGGGATTACAGGCGGGCACCACCATACCCAACTAATTTTTGTATTTTTGGTAGAGATGGCACTTCACCATATTGGTCAGGCTAGTCACAAATCCTGACCTCAAGTGATCCACCCACCTCAGCCTCCCAAAGTGCTAGGATTACAGGCCCGAGCCACCATGCCTGGCCACCTCCAGCTCTTTCTAATGCATTTTCAAGTTTTAGAACTGCTATGGTTTGCATGTGTCCTGCAAAGTTCATGTGTTGGAGGAGACTTGATCCCCAATGCAATAGCAGTGAGTAGTGGGATCTTTAGTGATTAGACCATGAAGGTTCCACTCTCATAAATAAATTAATGCCCTTAGAGTGGGAATAGGTTCACAAGATGAGTTCAGCCCCCTTCCCTCTCTTCTTACCTATGTGATACCTTCTGCCATGTTATGACGCAGCAAGAAGGCCCTCACGAGATACTGGTGCATTGATCTTGGACTTCCCAGCCTCCAGAACCATCAGGAAATAAATTTCTGTTCTTTATAAATTAACCAGTCTGTTCTTTATAAGTTAAACTTAGATCAATTCTTGTCTTAGATTGTTTTGTGCTGCTATTATGAAATATGAAATAGCACAAAACAAACTAAGACAAGAACTGATCTAAGTTTAAATACTGATTTAAGTGTCCAAAAGTTCCATTCACCATCTTTTTCAGTTCTCATTCTCCATTATTCTGGGTAGTTGGGCCCTCTCCTACTATCTCTACATCTATTACTACGACTAACAATGACAGCAACAGCTGCCATTTATCATAAGCATTTATAAGCGAGGCATTGTGTGAATCACTGTGTACACAGTACCTTTCTTAATCTCTACAACAATTATTTAATTCAAATAGGAAGGCTAGGCTTAGAGATGTTAAATAACTTGCCCAAGGACAGCCAGCCAATAAACAGCATAACAGAGATTTGACCTGCCATCTTCCTAACTCCAAAGTACACTAAGTTAACTGCTATACTAACATGCCTCCTAGAAGGTTGCTACTCCCGTAACCTCAGCTGTCATTTATATTACAGTTGTCCCTAACCATCTCATAAACTCTGAAGTAGAATTTCCAGTTACTTAGTGTATCTCTATTTAAACACCCCATAGAAACCTCAAAATTAACACTGCCATTATTTCTTCTCTTCACTTCAAACCTGTTCCTCTTCCTGTGTTTTCTAACTTAATGTCATCATAAGCAAACAGCTGCTCAAATGACTACTTACCCTCCCTCATCTCTAGCTGGTCATAAATTTAGAGATTTTAACATCTAAAAATGTCTCCAAAATCTATCCATTCCTATTGTCTAATGTTTCTTACCTACATTCTAGTCACCCTGCCTCTCCCACAAACTGTCAACTTTCTGATTATGGCTCTTGTTGGCTCTCCATTGCCAATGGATGGGAGGAGTCCAGACTTTTGAAGATGGAGTAGAAGACCCCCTCATAATTTGGCTCCAAAAATAACTTCCTGCCTCACCACTTCTCCCATGCGATAAGAAGTGACTGGGCCCTCATGAGTGGATTAATGCCATTATAGCAGGAATGGGTTCATTATCTCAGGAATGGGTTCTTGAGGTTAGCCCTCTCCCCTCTCTCTTGCTTACAAAAAACAACTCAAGATATTTCCAAAAGTGCCATTTAATTTTAATATTCAGCAACTTTGCTTATGCTGGCCCCTCTGCCTGGGATGCTCTCTTCCCCCTCTACATGTGGCAAAATTCTATTGAACCCTCAGAGCTAAGCTCCATCCCCTCCTTCTCAATGTGTTCCCTATCAATTTTTCTCCAGCCAAAGCGCTCTGCTCCCTTAACACATTATTCATTCCAAAAGTGATTAGTTTATCACAACATATAATGGTTAGTGGTTTATCTCTTCTAAAGAACACTTAGTATGTTGAGGATATACTGTGTCTTAACCTCTTTTTGTCTTCCCAGCACCCAATAGAATGGCAAGCCATAGCCAGCACCCAGTAAATATTTGCTGAGTTGTTAAATAATGCAACATTTGCAGCTGTAACTTTACACACCTTGGTTAGCAATTCAACTTCAGGTTTACACACCACTCAAAAGAACTTTCACATAACAGAAGATGTTATGAATAAAGACCAAGGGTTCAATATTCAACATCAGTGTCTTTAATTATTCAGAAAACTCTTTTGTCAGTATTTTTAGGTATCCTTTATCAGAAAGACTCCTTTCCCAACTAACATTTGTATTTTTTACAGGATCAGCAGTAATGACAAACCTCAGAGAGATAAACCCAAGTAAAACCATGTCACTGAGTGTGACTGGATGATTACTGGTACATCATTTCAGCAAATTTCCAATAGAACGGCCCAAGTACATCAAGTAGATTTTAGAAACTGAGACAGGTACCACTGACTACCTAAAATACATGCACATTAGTGAGATATTTATCCCAACTAGTAATTGAAATCAAAAGTATATTAACAACCTGATATTGGTTCAAGTGTAATATCCTTTACTTTCAAGTAAGGATAACACTTATTCTTGTCAAAGACTATACTCTGATTAATACAACCTTTATCCCACCTTACAAGAAAGCTCTATCTTGTTAACAGTGGGATCCTGATAAGCCTGCCTTAGTCCTTAACACTTTGCCTTCCCAACCTGCTAAGCCATCTCCCTCCAGTATTCTGCTATAAGAGACCTTCTGCTCCAGACACCAGACACAAAAGTCTTTTTGGTATATCCTCCAACAACCAAATTCACATTATTATTTTCTCAGCCCCTGGTTTATTTCTTTTCTAATTCAAATTTTACACTTCTTTCAGAGACCAACTCAAATCTTACCCTTTCAAAGAGTTCCCTAACTCAGCCTACACATCCTATCTTTTCCGATTTTCTACCACATTTATAGTCCTCAAACAGCACTGGTTACATGCTACTTAACTTGGTTTTATAATTATTTTATACATGTATCTCCTACATAGACTACTGCTCTCAAAGGAAAAAAGAAAAGACTGGTCTTCTATGTTATTTGTAACTCCTTAAACCTCTTCCCACATCTATCATGACACTGGGCAGAGGGAGGTACTTGTATTAAGTACTTGATGGACTGAACTAAATGTTTTCTATAAATAGATACACCACTTGAGCACAGTGTGATGTATAACAAATAGCCATTGCATGCTTACTCTGTGGCAAGCACCTTTTTCCTATGTCTTGGACATAGGGCAAGGAAGAAAAACACAGGTGACTCCTGTCCTAAAGCTATTATAGTGCAAGGAGGAAGACACTTTGAATTTCGAGTAATAAGTGTTACAAAGCAAGGTTATTACTGGTTCCAAGAGGCAACATATTTTACAGATCCTCAGTTATGAAACTGAATCACACAATTTTAGACCTAAATGAGAACCTTGAACTTATTTTCCTCAATCCTCTTGCACAAAACATTAGATTTCAGTACAATCTATCTTTTCACTGGTTCTAATTGCCTTAATCAACAGAAAGAAAAGATTGGGTTCTTTCCTGTCTCCAATACTCCTTGCTCCCAAGTATGGTACTACAACCACCATACATCTACCCATGATAGAGTCCGGAGTACTGAGAAGAGAGCACCGGGCTGATGATGTGCTGCACCTTTACACTCTGGGTTCTCCCATCATCAACGCTTTCCAGCCCACACAGTCAACAGAATCCGTATTTTCTGCCCACAAAATAGCAGCCTGTACTACCGTTAGGGAAAACAAACAAACAAAACATGCTTCCATACTTCCTTGGCCCTACTAATGACAAAAGCACAACACGGTTCTGGGAAATTTAGCAAGAGATTTGAGTCTAAAAGGAAGTAATAAACGAGAATGTCTATCAGTACCTTGGTCTACAAATCTGTAGCAACAACATACTAAAACGCCAAGGAAACAGATGCACATGCATGTGAAGTTGGAAACTGTAGGCAACAGGTTGGCTGCCCCGGATCTACACTGACAGGTCACCCTCCCTAGGTCGTGGGTGTGTCTGACGGCGCACGCAAGCACTGATTCACAGCTCTCTCCATAACAACCAGCTCCTACTCAGAGGCTGGCCAGGGCAGGGGAGATGAGGGCCCCATCAGTCCCAAACTTTCCGAACCCCCACCCCGGAGGCCGGGGTTTCGCCTCCTCTCGGTCCCGGGCAACGTCGTCTCAGACAGGATGCGAGGCTACTGGGGAATCTGGGCTGCTCCTGATTCGAACTTCTTTCTTTGGGAGGCTGGGAGAGTCACCCCGAGCCCCCGAGACATCTACTTCCCACTACACCTTCGTGGCCTGCAAGCCTTCCCCAGCCTCCGGCTACCGCTTCCCAGAGCAGCCGGGCCCAGAGACTGACCCTAGTCAGTCCCCGTCCCCGCTCCTTCCCCGCCCCCGGAAAAAGCGGCGGAGGGGCGGGGAGCGGCGCGCGCAGATACGGCGGGGGCGCGCCTCCCCGCGCCCCGGGCCCGCGCAGCAGGTGCGGCCAGGCCCCACCTCCCCTGCGAGGCCCCGGCTACTCACCCCAACGATGTTCCTCTGCGACCTAGCCGCCGGCACAGACGCCTCTTCCGCCCGCTCCGCACCCCCCTCTTTGCCACCGCCCCCTTGGCCACTACCGTGGCCGCCGTCCTCGCCGCCGCCGCCGTCGCGGCGCGCGTCCGCCCTCACGCACTCCGCCGTGGCCGCGCACGCGCCACTGCGCGCTGGCGTCACTTAGCAACCGATCGACCGCCGGCTGCTGGGTCCGGGGGTGCAGGCCCGGAAGGTAGCCAGAAGCGGCTTCTGCGGCTTTTCCGCACCGGCCCGACCCTCTGCGCCTAGAGAGCAGGGGGCCCCAGGGTGTGGCTGCCCTGCCGGCACCTGGCTCCCGGTAAGTCGCGTCACCATACGTCACTGTATGGCGTCACCGGCGCGCGTCACTACGGGTGGGAAGGTTCTGGGCGCCTATGGAGTGACCTCGTCCAGACCGCCACAGACCCGATCGGCAAGTTCTTGGAGGTGCAGGAAGGTTCTCTTAGGAGTAGGACCAAAAGGGGCTGAGAGCGTGGTTAATGTCGAGGCTGCTAAGTGACGCTTGTTAACTGCCCCAACCTTGACTCTCAGTTTCCTCTTTCAGTAAAAGGCCATGATAATACCGGTCCAGCCTACGCTGGAGAGTTGTGAGGTGAAAATGAAATAAGTCTGCAAAGGTATTTTGTAAGTATAAAGCCCATTTGACTTGGTGGCTCACGCCTCTAATCCCAGCACTTTTGGGAGGCCGAGGTGGGTGGATCGCTTTAGCTCAGGAGTTCGAGACCAGCCTGGGCGACATAGTGAAACCCCGGCTCTACAAAAAAGACAAAAACTAGACGGGTATGGTGGCACGAGCGCGCCTGTAGTCACAGATACTCTGGAGGCTGAGGTGGGATGATCGCTTGGACCTGGAGAGTTCGAGATTGCAGTGAACCGTGATCGTGCCGCTGCACTCCAGCCTCTGCGATGAGAGCAAGACACTGTCTCAAAAAAAATGTATCTCTGAGGCAGGGGAATTGCTTGAACCTGGGAGGTGGAGGTTGCTGTGAGCCGAGATCGCGCCACTGCCCTCCAGCTTGGCGACGGAGCAAGACTCCGTGTAGAAAAAAAAAAAAAAAAAAGTATTTATTCAGATAGATAAGAGTCCTAGAAATTCGGTGCAGTTCTGAGTAGCTGATGTGGGAGAGTCAATTACTCTCGGCGCTGGGGCAAGCTAGCGGACCCCCCCTCCCCTCCCTCCGCGCCTCCCCCGCCTCGTGCGGGTGTTGGAGGAGACAAATTGGCAAGGACTAATCCCAGGCAAAGGAAACTTCATGAGTAAAAGTAGGAAGTAAAAATGGTCAGGAAAAGCAAGGCTTGGGGTAGGGAGACCCATTTTCAGGTCATATTGCAGTACTCCAGACAAGCGATAAGAACATTGAACAAGGCATTGGCAGTGGGAATAGAAGAGGGGATAGATGTTGGCGCTGTTAAGGTGGTAGAACTCACAGCCAGGTTTGAGTAGGCCAGCTTTCTAATATAAGTCCTAAGGGAGATAGTGGTAACATTTAGCAAAATGGCAAGCTACATGAGTGTTGATTATCCACAGGTGTCTAAGTTACTATTATAGATAGTGATGGTGACATTCCTTAGGAGGATGATTGGATGTGTGGAATATGGTGATGATTTCAAATATGGATATGTTTGTTGGCGAAACATTTCCTCTCCACTCACAATGTCTTCTGTATGGAATGACGTCCATTAGTGTCATACTTTCCTGGCTTCTCACTGTACCTGTCCCCAAATCACTCTTCCCTGATTAGTGAATTGTTGGACACAGGGCAAGGAAGAAAACACAGTGACTTCTTGATTGGTGAATAAACTGGGCATGTGACATCTATCCCATTCTTTTTCTCTTGAAAGAGAGCTATCTTCAGGGAACTGTCCTGGTGTTCTCTTCCATTTCTCCTGGAGCAGGGCCTGTGGGTGGGGACAAGGGTGCCTAGTCCAGGACTACAAAGAGAGTAAATGTATTTAATTCCAGAGTTTGGCATTAGGAAGCTATCTGTCCACAGGTAATATTTAATACCAGCCTTATCAGCTGTGTTACACTAATAATGATCCCCTCAAAAAAAAATGACCACATCCTAATACCCAGAACCTGTGAATATGTTATATTATATGGCAAAGGGAACTTTGCAGATATGATTAAATGATGCATCTAGGGAGATTATCCTGGATTGTCTTACTTGGCTGGAGGCAGGAGGGTTGGAGTCAGAGAAGGAGATGTGATAATGGAAGCAGGGATCAGACAGAGAAATTTGAAGATGCTGTACATTTGGCTTTGAAGATGGACCCAAGGAATGCAAGCAAATTGTAGAAGCTGGAGAAAGCAAGGAAATGGATTCTTCTTTAGCACCCTGGGAATACAGCCCTGCCAACATCTTGATTTTAGGACTTCAGACTTCTTGAACTGTAAGATAATAAACTTGTATGTTTTAAGCGACCAAGTTTGTGGTAACTTGTTACAGCAGCAACAGGAAACTAATACAGTCAGTAATAAAGACAATAGTTGGTTTCCTGCAGCTTTCTCCTTTATCTGGAAAAGAAGGGTACAATTCAGTAGGTCCCTTCGGAGACTATAGTAATATGACTGTGCCCTGATGGAGGGAACCTCCAAATCTAGAGAAAAATGTCTAGTAAACAGTCAAACTATACAGGTCTGTGAATGAAGGAAAAGGTTGAGTTAAAATAGTTTGGAAGAAAAAAATTTATAACTGGTAATTTAAGCCCAAGGCATGATGAGATGAATACGTGAGAAAATACAGAAGAAATAATAAGGAGAACCAAGGATAGGGCCCCTGGGAAGCACTAACTTTAGAAGGAGGTACAGATGATCAGAAACCCAAAAAGAAGTCTGAGGAGGAATGGCCTGAGAGAGAAAAGGAGAATAGGTGAGCCTAATGCTCTGAAGCCCTGCACGCAAGGTGGAGAGGGGTCAACAGAGTCAGAGACCACAAATGGGTCAAGTATATCAAGAACTGGAAACCATTCACTGGATTTAGCAACAGAAAAGTGATTGGTAACCAACAATCACTTCAAAAAATCACTTCAAAAAAGCAAACTTCAGTGGGATAGTGGAGAAAGATACCAAATCACTGAGGTCTGAAAGGCAGACCAACATAGTGGATTAGCCTCTGGACTGGGTTGATTCCAGTTTTGAGATCCTAGTCTTGATTCTGGCCATTGATTAGCTAAGTAACTGAACAAATCCCTCAACTATTCCAGGCTTTGGTTTTCTCATCTGGCAAAGGGTGGGATCAAGCTGAGTCTATAGTTTTCACATTAATTCCTAGATAATCCCCCCCAATTTTATATCAGACTCACCGTGAGAACCAGTATTACATGCCAGCTTCTGTCCTAGATACTATGGCTATGACACAGTTTTCAAGGAACTCACAATTTGGAGAGAGAGAAAAAAAAATACTAAGTATATAACTAGGTGTTGTAGTTCTTTTTAAGAAAAAAAAAAATTTATATATATATATATATATATATATGTATAAAATCTGGGCGCAGTGACTCACACCTGTAGTCCCAGCACTTTGGGAGGCCAGGGCAGGCGGATCACTTGAGGTCAGGAGTTGGAGACCAGCCTGACCAATATGATGAAACCCCATCTCTACTAAAAATACAAAAGTTATCCAGGCATGGTGGCATGCGCCTGTAATCCCAGCTACTCGGAGGCTGAAACAGGAGAATCACTTGAACCCAGGAGGTAGAGGTTGCAGTGAGCCGAGATCACGCCATTGCACTCCAGCCTGGGCAACAAGGGTTAAATTCTGTCTCAAAAAAATAAATAAAGAATAAGATAGACCTGGTTGTGGTGGTTCATGCCTGTAATCCCAGCACTTTGGAAGGCCAAGATGGGAAGATCACCTGAGGCCAAGAGTTTGAGACCAGCCTGGGCAACATAGCCAGACACCCATCTCTACAAAAATGTTCTAAAAATTAGCAGGTGTGGTGGCAGGCACCTGCAGTCCTAACTACTTGGGAGGCTGAGGCAGGAGGATTGTGTGAGCCCAGGAGTTTGAGGTTACAGTGAGCTATGACTTTGCCAGTGCACGTTAGCCTGGGCAACAGAGCAAGACCTTGTCTCAAACAATAGAGTAAGTTTAAAAGCTAGATATAAATATTGTAATTATAATACAATATACTATAATAGAATCTGTATGAAGTAAAATGAGGACTATATAAAGTGATACAGGTAAGAGGGCAGTCAGTTCTATGTAATGGAAGTCAACGGTATTGTACTTACCTATACTGTCAGGTAGGCACAGAATGCCTCAAAAATGGACACTAATAAGGCATTTCCATGGAGATAAAAAAAGACCAGGAGAATTGTGCTAAACCAGTGATGTCACCTAACATTCCTTCTAGGTAGTTTTGTTGTGATTTAAATGAATAGTTACATACAACTGTTTCTAAACTAAAATTGTTTAATTGTTAAAATGAACACAAAAGTTAAATGCAAGAATAATTTATATTTTCTCAGTAGATCCAAGAGGAAACATTTATTGTCACTAATGCCATGCTTTGATACATTTGCTTATCTAATCTTCATATGTTATCTCACTTAATTTTGTAAACATTAGCTTATTGAATAGCCCACTGACAAAATACCTGTTTTAGCAGATGGGGTACAAAGTTTAAATAATTTGGCTGAGGTCATAGTAGACCAAGATTTAGACCCAGCACAAGCATCCTCTTTCCAGGAAACTGGTCCTTAGTTGGTTTAAGTGCCCTTTCTCTGTACTGTTAACATATGCACACATTCATTTTAGCATTTGCTTTAATAATAAGGATGTTTACAGTGTGCCAGGTACATCGTACCTGTACCTATTTACCTCTGTTTAAGTGTTTTGTAGGCATTAGTTCATTTAAGCCTCATAACTGCCCTTTGAAGTAGGTGATATTATTCACAATATTTTATAAAACAGGAAGCTAAGGTATAGAAAGGTTAAGTAATTACTCAAGGTACACTTAATAAGTGATAAAGCAGGGATTCAAATCCATGCTTTTAACCCCCAGGCTTCAAACTATGTACCCTTTCCCTTACACTGAGGGATTCTAGAAGGCACAGCTTACAAGTTGTATGTGTGATATCACTCTGTGTTCCTCATAAGAACACAAGAGAATTTTCTCCCTGAGCCATGAGTCATGAAATATTTGGCTACCTTTGAGTAACTGATGTGTTTTTCTCTTTATAGGCAATGTGAATTATGTAACTGCTGGTTTTTCCCTTTTCACTTTGACTGCCAAGAATTAAATTTGTTGGCTTAGTGTTTGTAAGTGGGTGGATTGGCTTGCCTATCTGTATTCTGTTGCTTTGAAATTTTAAAAAATAGTTGGGAGAAAAATAATGTAAATTTTTCTTTATTTTCCAAATTGTTGACAATGTACAATGATAATTTTTATAATTAGAAAAATAAACTTTGTTCTTAAAAGAATGTTTGCAGCTTCAAATGATATCTCACGCTTTGACTCTGAATAAGAGCTGGTTTCAGGTTAAGTTGCAAGAGTTAAATATAGAATCCAGCTTCATATAAAACCAAGACTTCTATGTGACCTTGAAAGTCCAGATCAGTAGAATTGTTCAGATGGATCAAAAAGTATTTTAAGTAGTATAAAGTAGTTGTAGCCCTTCTTGTTTTTAACTTATGTCTAAGTAATTTGAAACCACTTTTAGCTTATTTGGACACATTCTCCCTTGCTTTAGAAATAAGAAATGTATCATATTATCTTCCTATATGCTGATGAGATCTTATTATAATAAACTTCAAAGCTGATCTTGTTGCTCACCATTTATCGAAAGAATGGATCAAGATCACCTGTTCCAAAACTAA